TAGATTCATTTTTGCTTGGACACGTGATGTATCATAGAAAGAATGGTTTGTCATATATCACAGATATCACAAGAAATAGTACAAATTTATAATTTAATAAATATATAACTGACCAGAGAGTCTGGGTAATGGTACATTTGATGTCATTATACTCTCTGTGTAGATGAACTCTGAGTGTGACTTAGAAAAATCAGTATTTTTTTGCTTTTTAGGTATCTTTATAGATGCCTATTTCATTACCTACCATGAAAGAATACAAGTTAAGGCACAAATTTTATTTTATATTGTATGAAATTTCCCCATACTCACCACTTCATGTGACTCCAAAGAGTAGCATTAAAAGAAGAGGGCATTATAATTAGCCTCAGCTTCCTTATGAAAAAGTAAAAATAGAGCAAGACTTACCTGTGTCCCAATAGTAAACAGACTGAAGGCCAGAATTAAAATCAATTAATCCTCTTTGCTAACTAAACAGTAAGTCTTTTACCCTAATGCTCCATCAGCATTATAGAATCCTGCATTATTATAGCTAGTAATAGATTCACATGAATCAGTTTCCTGTGGGTTAGTACCATTGTGCTGTCACCTTCTCGTACAATCCATCACTACCTCTGAGTGTGTACATATTTACCCGTGTGCATGGAGACACTCGTACGTGTATGTGTGTAAAGGAGCTCAGTGAGTGGAAATGACCCTGCTGTGTATGTAGGTGCTGTCATGATGTTAATTAGACTAAAAATTCAGTATGAACCTGAAAAAAAATCCTCAAACTAAGATAATTTTCTGGTTCAAGAGGATCATAATTAAGAGAGCAGACATGCATAGAAACAAGAGAATGAGATCAAGAGATCTAAAAGCCAGGAGTCAAGTGTAGAAAGAAGTTGCGGTGGGAGGAAGACTGCTAGAGAGCTGTAGCTTCTTGCTGTGGCCAAGGCTAGCAGGAGCGACTAATGGTGAGCAGAGGGTCCCCACGACTCTCTTATTTCTAACTGATGTTTATTTGCAGAACATGTTTGTAATGCATAGATGATCCAAAATTATTAATAATTCAAAATACCTTGAGATGGGTTATTTATTTTTAATGTGTTTTTGTATGTAATGTTGGATCACACTATACTTAAGTAATATTATAAAGTCAGAATTTTTCATTATATAATATTTATTATATTTATTATTCTATATTACACTATATAATATTATCCTCTGACTCAGGAGAATCTGGGATATTTTTATGATATTTTCTTCTACATTCTAATTAGCACTTTTCCTAATTCTGTTTTAATGCTGGGAATATACAGCATTACTCCAAGACCACTATCATTCTTTCTAGAGGGATACAATACTGTGATAGTTTTGCTGATCACTCAGGGGTATATTTGAAGACTTTAGATTACATGGCAAACAATATCAGTAAGTGTTAACACACTCTTGAGGATTTCATTCTCTTTCTGCACTTGAATCATCCCTACAAAAGAGGGAGAATCACAAATTAAAAAAAAAAAGATTTATAAACGTTTATGTATGAGATACAGTTCTCTCTTTACTATCACAGTGTACATGATTATACAGATGCAAATTATGATATTAAAATAAAGCAACAAAAGGGGAATGAGTCATTAACTGCTAACTTTTACCCAGAGCATGACTAGGCTTCATTGCAATGTCACTGTCTTAAGTTTGACTTCTAATTCAGTGACTTTGAGAGTGGCAATTAAGTATGCCTGTAAATGATGCAGCATATACTTATGAAAAAAGGAAACCAACTACCCAGTAGTTATCTGCCCTGTGCTTCCAGATATTTAAACCAAAACACTAAGTTTGACTCAGGCTTCTTCAACTTTGACGCCATAAGCATTTTAGATGCCTTATATCTTTGTTGTGGGGGATTCCTGTATTTTGTAAAAGGTTTAGCAGCATCCCTTGCCTCTGTCCACTGGATGCTAGTAGCAACCAACCCTCATCCAGTTGTGACAACCGAAATGTGTCTCTGGATATTGTAAAATATCATCTGGAACACAAATTGCCCCACTGGAGAACCACTCATCTAATTGTTCTTTTTTTAATTTAAGAAACCCATTTTCCTTACCCATCTGGTTCTGCTGCCTCCAGTCTTTATCATTAAAAAGTTTTAGGCTAGAGAGCTTGTGACAGATTAAGTAAAATTTATTTATTTGTTATCAGTGGATAAATACTAGATTATACTCTTGAGAAGTAAAGATTGGATAATATCTAATGCTAAGCTAGTTCATTTTCAGCAACCAGTGATGCTTATTAAATATGAAGAGATGTGTCTAGCAGCAGTTGAACTGATTTAATGCCTGGTAAATGTGTATCACTTACATCTTGGATGTACTGTCAGTAAATGTTCTTAAGTAATCTATTGGTGAAAACGGAATTTAGCATTTATTTTTCTGCCTCCAATTATATTCATCGTTTTGGAAGCAAACTGCCCAGACTCATGCTGCACGAATGGTGTTGTCAATGTAACTGTTTGTATAAGTGTGCATAATAGACTTGCTTTAAAGTATTTGCAGAGATCCAATGCTTGAGATTTTTATGGGTGTATTGATTTTTTGTGATAGTTTTATGGATTCGGATATATTGAGCAGTGAAGATAAAAATTTGTTTGCTTGCCTTTCCTGTTATAGTTTTAAAGCTGATTTTTAAAAAATTGTATGTTAATAGTTAACTCGTATGTTGATGAGTAACTCACCTGATACTTGTTAGTCGTGGCAAAAATAAACAACTCACTAAATGTTTATCTCTTGTCATGTGCTTCCCCCTCCCCATTTTTTTAATGGTTTCCACATATTTTAGAGATTATTTAGTTCCTAGAAATGATCTTTCTTCATAGTGGGAACACAAAACACATTTTCCTCTCCTTCAGTTTTGTGTTGATGCCATAGTCAATAATTCTTTGTATCTGACTCTTTAAATTATTTCTTTAGAAATGTTAAACCAAGAATAGATCTATCTGCACCACTCAGATAAATAACAAATATTTGAAAAGTGATGTGGTAGTAATTTGTTAAATTAAATTCAGTTTATTTATTTCACACTGCAGTGGCTATCTACTATATACATAATGGGTTTATGCCCATCTCTAAGTGAATTATGGGAGGGCCAGAGAGATCCTTTAATAAGTTTATGAAGAAAGATGAGAACAAATACTGACAACACACAGTGTTGTAGAATGAGGTCATAAAAAGCAATAAATAAATAAATAAATGGTGGGGATACTGATGGGGGATTTCCTGGAAAGGCAGCCTCTGATTATATTCCCACAACTTCCCCCACATGTCAGAAATGCCGCCATATATGTTACACAATTTTTCTTCTTGTGATGAGAAACTCTAGGATCTTTCTTTGCAGCTTCAAATATGTAATGCAATACTATGACAGTCATCCTGCTGTACTTTACATCCAATTACAATTTATTTCATTATTTTATCACTAGAGAGTTATACCTTCAGGTCCCCTTCACACTTATCATCCATTCCCTATTTCTCGTAACATCATAACTGTTAATAAACATTGTTTTCTCTTGTTTTTTTTTTTCTTCTCATATTCCACATATAAGTAAGACCAGCTAGCACTTATATTTTCCTGCCTAAATTATTTCACTTAGCATAATATCCTTAAGGTCCATTTCTGTTGTCCCAAATAAGGAGATTTCCGTTTTTGGTTATGAAGAAAAAATATTCCACTATATACATGCAACACAGTTCCTTCAACTGCCCAGTCTTCCATTGCTGGCCACACATACTGTTTTTTGAACTTAGTTATTGTAAATATGACATATGACTCGGTCTCTATTTCTAGGCTGGCCAGCTGGTGGATAGGTTATACTTAGATTTCCTGTTTGTGTATGGGTGTAGAATCTCTATGCCTAACTGTTTTGACCTGAGAGAAAACCTGTATTTGACTTGGTTTGAAACTTACAGGGAAACATGGTGTTTTAATTGTCCTGCTCTCATACTCCTGGCTCCTTCTGTCCAGCCCTCATGCCCCAGGGTACTGAGCAGCTGGCTCTGCAGCTGTGAGCAGCGTCCAGGATAGTCTCTCTATGGGGCTGACATAAATCTTGCCAAAAGGGAAGATTTATACAATGAATATTCTAGCAAACAAAGAAAAAACTCTTTTTTTTTGCTTTATTTTTCACTTTCAGGTTCTTGCTGAAATTGAAGGCTTTTATTCCTCCTCCACTAATTTGTGTTTTTTTTTTGTCCCTGTCTTTCAAGTTTCATAAAGAGACACTTTTGCATTTTTAAAATAAGTAATCATTTCCATAAACCTTTTTTTCCTTCACCTTCCTTCGAATGGGAACTACAAAATGGATTTATCTCCCGTAAAAGATTGAATCCATTACAATGTGCCAGAATTGCTGGTAGCATGCCCCACCATCAGACGGTTGGCTACCCTTAGCAGCTGGATTGGGACACTTTGACATGGCAATGCCAGCTTCCATCTCGTTAGTATAACACCTGTCTTCTTGACCTTGGGCCTGCTCACAGTCCTCACCCCAGGGATTAGAAAGGAATTTCAAAATCTAGCCTAATTCCTATAGTAATGGGATATAAATTGAATCTACCATAATATATTTGATTTTAGGACATAGACAAAACTAAGAAAAGATGCCCCATTATTAATTGTCTAATTCCCAAAATTACTTGAACAGGTAAAATTCTATGCAAAGGCCCTTTTTCCAGACAAGAAGATAATCCAGTTCAATAGCCATTGGACTTTATTTGCCTGCATTATTCATACGGATTATTTATTGCCAAAGTGAGTCTTTTATGGTAGAATCTATCCATTGAATGATAATTGTGTCTTGAAGGAGAAATAGTGACAATATCTGGGGTCCTAAGAGATGGCAAGGCAATGATTCATCCTGAATGTAATTATTTTTCTGGGCTGGAGTTGTAGTGTACAATCGTGTGGAGAATGAATGTCGATGCACGTGTGGCTGATGCTATAATGTCATTATTCTGCTCCGCCAGGTGTGTGGTAGAAGATAAAAACTCGAAGGTGGCCTGGTTGAACCGCTCTGGCATCATTTTTGCGGGGCATGACAAGTGGTCTCTGGACCCCCGGGTTGAGCTGGAGAAACGCCATTCTCTGGAATACAGCCTCCGAATCCAGAAGGTGGATGTGTATGATGAGGGTTCTTATACTTGTTCGGTGCAGACCCAGCATGAGCCCAAGACCTCCCAAGTTTACTTGATCGTGCAAGGTAAGAAGTGGGTGGGTAAAGGGGAGGTGGTAAGGGACGGGTAGGGAAAGCCAGAGGATGTACAATATGCTTGCATGGTCCTTTGGTGGGAAAATATTTCCAAATACATTGTTGTACTTAAGTGCAATACTCTAAAATAGCAGGCTTAAAGTGAGAGGATTAAAAAGAACATGGAAAGGAGAGTCTTGCCATTATTGATGAGTGCCCTTAATAGGAAGGTTTTCTTCCAACCCCGAGTGTAAAAATATACAACAAAGTATTCCATTAGGTATTGGATGCTTTGCTGAAGGCTTGATTTTTATCTGTCCTCAGTGTAAAGACCATTGGTAATTATCTGTTTTTATGGGAGTCAATGTTTGGAAAAAATAAAATTTCCAGAGGCTTTGACATCTTCTCAACTAGCCAGACTTCTTTGTATCTCCATTTAATGCCAAATTATTTGTGAACAAATCTAGTGACAAGAATCTGCAGAGTCATTGGGGACAATCTGCTTCTAGATTGGGGTTTCCAAGGGCACATCTGAGTCATGGTTTTACAGAATGAAAAACTAAATGGCATACACATGCCCCCAAACTATAGCTCTCTTGGGCCTCTTTCCCCATAATTGCAGAATGAGAACAAAGCTGATCAGCTGCACAATTTTATTACAAGTGAAGTCAAACCACCAGCAGTTTCAACCCATCTATCAGGAAAGATCTAAGCACTAACAAATATTAGGGCTGTGTTCATGTATTCTTGATTTACAATTTTATGTAAATTTAATGCAAATCAGGCATGGCCCTAGGGCTTCTGTCAAGATTCCAAGGCAGTCAGTGGTGTGGCAAAGTTTGACTGTAGCTTCTATTAATGTGTTAGGGAATTGATTATTGCAGCACTTAAATTATTGCTCTCTCAACTCCTCTGATTAATAGATTGAAACTGGAGTAAAATACATCAGAGGAGCCTGGTGCAGGGGTGGCTTAGTCATGTGGCCTCTATCTTGGTCCATTTGCAATGGCTGACAGCTTCATTTTATAGCTTGTAAAAGGCATGTCTACTGACTTGCAAAGTTTGCATCATTGTCAAAGCATAGAGCATTTTCATAGATTACAAGAGAGCATTGAGCTCCGTAACAGGAAACACCAGGATATTAATTATAGGTAGCCCAATTAAATGTGTGAACATGATAAGAAGTGTGTAAATATGTAAATAGGTTAATTTACCAGCTCCATCAAAACACATGTACATACACTTCATGCACAGACATGCATGCACATATACACAAACACACATATCCCTCAGAACATAAAAATGCTTTACCTCATTTGTTGACAAAAGGAGGGAATATAACTCATTTGCTTAAGATCCCTTGGAAAATATTGTATCTAATAATCAATCCCACTTAATATTATGAAAATTCTATACAGGTTTAATATCTTTACAGCCTTTAGTGTCCTTAGAATGCCAGTAGAGATCACAAGTAGGAAATATGTATTGTGTTATGCTGAATAAAATAGAGAAATCTGAATATTTCATTTTTTGGTGTCTCAGTGAAGAAACAAATATTCATTAAATTTAAGTTCCTTGCTCAAGGTCACATAGAGAGGTCAGGGAGTATTTTGGGGCCCAAATCAACAATAACTCAAATTTGAAATACTTTCTATAAGATTTGAAAACTGTTGTGTGACTTTAAGACTGCCAGATATATGTAGGTCTGAGCACTCACCTACAAATATGCAAAGCCCCCTCTACTTTTTCTTGGTCATTTGTGTACTTTTGGCTACAAACATAATCAACCTGAAAGGATCAGAGAACTGGGATAGAACACACTGAATACACCTCTGTGCCATGAGTGCAAGTGAAATTAACTTAAACTTGATTTAATATTGAGTTATTAAGCAGAAGTTAGGAGATGGGGAAACTGTCAGGAACTATTTATTCATTGTCTCTTTTGATTCTAATTATAATATTATTAAGTAGGTATTAATAGCTTTATTATAAATATGCAAAAATTTAAAGTTCAGAGACAAACTGAACATGCCCAAGGCTCCCTGTTTGTCTCAAAAATCAGACGTATCTGTCTGAGCAAAGGTATTATTATATCTTCTTCATAACAATTTTTCTTTGAAAGAGATAACAACAACCAAACAGTTCTATCAGGTTGATGAAAACGGCCTGTGTGCTCTTGAACCTAAGACACAAAAGAGGGTTTAAAAAATAAATAACTACATGTACAGTTTATTTTTTTACATGTACATGTACACCTACATTACTGAACCACTTCCTCTTACAACATTTCACTTTGTAATTATGTCAGGGACTCTACCCCCTCGTGCTGTTTGTTCACGCAGTTTCCTACTGCACATCTCAAATCTGTATTTTCACCACATCACAGGTTTTGCAGACCTCGATATGGCTTACATACTTCTTTCCTCCAACCCCACAGTAACTTCCTTCAGAATATTTTTTGAGCTTAACTACTTTTACTTGCTCACCCACTTTGGTTGTTGGAACTTCAACTTAAATTGTCATTAAATGAATGCTTTATTTATTTTCCTTCACATTGAAGAGGATATCCTGAGGTCAGGTCAGTGATACTATGAGGTATCACTAAGAAATAGCAATTAAGAAGGTGGAATTTGCAGTCCTCCTGCCTGATTAGAGACTCAATTTCCTCTTTGCTACTTGAATCCTGAGATAAACCACATTTTCTTCTAAGGTTTAGAGCTCTTATATTAAAAATAGAAAGAAAAATAAATTTTAAATTCTGCTATATAAATCACAAGCTTGGTATCTAGGGATTTTGTATTTTGACTCAGTCAATGATGTGTTGTTGATGATGATATGATTACGATGATGAAGAAGACAAGCTCCAGGTGCTGCCCCAGTATCGTCAAAAGTCTCACCTTTCTCAGGTCTAATTGCTGTTTCTACTCATTGCCTTTACCTATGGCTGCCTCTACTACCTTTTATTTGGGGTCCTTCGCCTTTAGCTTTACTACTTTGTTTCTAAAGGGTTTCTCAGACCAGTGTCACTTTTAAGTTCTTAGCTACATTTATTAAGAATATTTGAGGAAAAAATACAATATGCATCAGTGACACAGCAAGGGTCTATTAGATTCAAGATGGGTGGGACATCCTCTGAATTTCTGATTAAGTAGTTGTGAAGTACAGACTGAGAATTTGCAATTCTAATAAATTTTGTGATGCTGATGCTGCTAGTGCAGAAGATGCCCACTATGAGAACCCCTGCTTTAAAAGATTGCGTACCTTAACAATGTATGGGGAAGTAATTCTGCTAAATTCCTTTCAATTTCAGATTGCGTTACACCCTCCTAGACATCTCTAATACTGTTCTTTCTTTTGACATTTATTTTCTTATATTGTAGTTCATTTTTTGTATAAAAGTTGGTTTCACCCCTCTGATGTAGCCCCCATTCTTCCACCAACACAACACCCATGAAACTTCACTATATTCCCATGTGACCTAGTGCTGTAGAAAGAAAATCTCATTTCCAAAACTGACAACGTTAAGTATTAAAACTAAAAAAGGAAATGGTTGAAAACTTCATAACTAGTCTAGACCTAAAAATCTCAACTTTCCCGATTTGTAGGTGTTTGTATTCCCTTCAGATTTCTCCTGCATGCCATTTCTCCTGAAAACCTTTTACTTTTGTATAAAAATCTTCCAAATATGTTAGCAATGTGAGGTGAGTTTGTATACAGATAAATAATGCCCTTTGGTATCATGGGTGATTACTGTTGTTAAATGTTGCATCTGTGGAATTTGAGGCATTAATATGAACACATATATTTGAGATACTTAGTAAATAGTGGACCCATTTCTAAAGCCAGATATTTTAGTTCCTTGCCACTTCCATTAAATATTCTAAGATAAAAGTTTAAGAAAACATCATCCCTCATATCAATAAAATAGAGTACTCTGATACCCTTTTCATTTAAAATGTGCATCTTTTTCCAAAGGTTATGCTCCTATGATCTGTTCTTTTGGGTCATGGTGCAGATGGAGTCACTTGTGTTAGTCAGTTTCCCTTTATGTCACCCTTGAAAAACCAGTAACAAAGTCAAAATTTTGGTTGAGTATGCTAGTCAAAGTGCAGATTCCTGGGAACCACCCCCAGAATGATTGAATAATCAGTATCCCCAGAATGTGGCCAACATTTGCAAGTATATTATACTCTGCAGGTGATTCAGATACGTATGAAAAACCAAGAACTAATATTTTCTGTATCTAAGCAATCAATGAGAGGGATTTACTGCTGCCTGCCTGTTCATTTTCCTGTATGGTACCACATCAAATTATTGCTAACACACTAATAAAACTTTGTAATAGAAAAATAAAAATAACATAAATCTATATATTCATCAAAAATAGAAATTAATCTCATGCTTTTGAACCCTGGGAATAGTTGCTCCAAAAACTAAGGTTTGGGGCCCTCCCTGGTGGCACAGCAAGTTAAAGCATAGCACTAAGAAGCTAAAGCCACTTCAGCATGAGTTTGATCCCCCACCCCAGAGGTGACCCATGTGAAGTGGCAGACCTCTCCTGACCCACCTGCTGTTCCCCTCAGCAGTGTTCTTCATCAGTCTGCCTGTTCTGCTCTCCACTCTGTCTCTGGTGAATCCTCTAACCACCCCTGCACCTCTGGCCTGTACCCCAGTTCTATATGCATAAATAAATAAAATCTTTAAAACAAACAAATAAACAAACAAAAAAATAGAGTATATTTTCTTTCATGTAACATTAGACTTTCCATGTATATATGAAGCTGATCTTATTTCTGTATATGTTTGGAAAGAAATCTAGATATAATGTTTTACAAAATGCAACTCTTATATTTAAATATATCATTATTACACCTAACCACATTTATCTTATTTTTAATTTATTTTCTACATGATTCTGATACCAATACTAGAGTGCTAATTTCCATGTGGAGACTTTTGCTGTCCTTTTGTGCTGTTCTAATTTGGTTAGCTTTTTTTTAGAAATGACCTAA